TCTCTCTCTCTCTCTCTCTCTCTCTCTCTCTCTCTCTCTCTCTCTAGTTGAGGGATACTTTTGTAGGGTGAACTATGCATTGTATTTCAATGATCTGAATCGTCTAATTTTTAGATATTCCCTCAAAAATGATTTCTACAAAAAATCACTTGAATTTGAAACTATTTGAGATGGTTGTTATTATATCCTTTTCCTGAAGCACTGCATTCGTCTATTTTGTTGATCCCAACTAGATACCTTTATGATTTTCAATTTGCATGATTTTTGCCATGGATAATTTATGAATGAAAACTTGAAAAATAGATTGTTTGAAAAGTTGAAAAAAAATTAATAGGGACCATAATAGGTGTCCCCAATACAAAAAGACTATATATATGTTGTTTTCGGTGCCAAAAAGCATTAGGTAAATTAGAACATACTTCATTTTTTAACTTTTCTTCAAACTTAATTATTTGAGATTGAAGTGACTTGTCGGCTAACTGTTGTTCTATCCTTTTAAACTTAATTTCTTCTTTCAGAAAGTTAGCTTGGTTTGTTTTACTCTGAATTAACTTAACTGACTTAGAAACTGCTGACTTTTGGAGTAACTTAAGACTGTGTAACTCTGGTTTGGTTAAGAACTCGAATTTAACCCTTTCTCCTAATTGGCTTGAGGTGACTCCATCATATTCTACCTGGAAAGGATAAAGCAATGAAATAAAGGGTAAACCTAAAATTACTTCATCTGTGATATCCTGAATTAGGACAAAGGACATCTTAAAGCATATTTTATTCTGGCATACATGGGCTTTGGGTAACTCATATTTTAACTTCAAAGCTTTACCGGACGCTATTCCTAAGACTTCTTTTGACTTCTTGTAATAATGGGTTGGAATTAGACCTTCCTGAATACAATTTAGATCGGCTCCTGAATCAAAAAGGGCAACTGTGTTTAACTCAATTACTTTGTTACTATCGGTATCGGAGGACTTAGGTTCTGATTCAAAACTAGACTTTCCAAAAGGATTAATCTTGTTTAATTTCGTAGTTCTCAGTTTGTAACTTTTGACTTATTTGTTTTAATTCTAAAATTTCTTTCTTAACTGTTTTGACTTCTAACTGGAGGTCCTGATGTAAGACCCGTATCTTGGGGAAACAAGAACGGTGAGTAATCCCACATCGCTCGGGGAGGGAAAGGTGAAGTGCTTTAAATGTGTGGGCACTTCTCTTCCTAGCACGAGGCCTTTTGGGAGCTCACTGGCTTCGAAGTTATAGGAACTCCGAAGTTAAGCGAGTTGGGGGCCAGAGCAATCCCAGGATGAGTGACCCACTGGGAAGTTGCTCGTGAGTTCCCAGAAACAAAACCGTGAGGGCAGAGAGGGGGCCCCAAAGCAGACAATATCGTGCTAGGAGAGTCGGGTCGTGACACCTGAAGGGTGACTTTGAAGATGAGCTATCAGAAAAATTTATAGATATGCAAAACAGATTTTGTTTACCCAGAAACCCACCATTGGGAAAAACTGGGAGTCATCAACCGACTAGGCAATCCACTAAGTAGAAAAAGATTCTTACAAAGGAATACAAGCAAGCTCAAGCAAAACCTAGATCTATTTAGGAAGATGAGCTATACCTCCTTTGTGCAATCTTCTTCTCCAACTTAGCAAAGCTTGATACTTAGTTCTTCATGGCAATGGCAGCTCCTTCTCCAGCTCGATCATCCCATGGCACTAGATTGCAAGCTCCAACTTAGAACAAAGCCAAAATTTGGATTCAAGGGAGAAAGACCAATTTCTTCAAGAAACCATACTCTTGAAGAAATCAGTCACGAATCCGATCTAGATCTATATGAGAGAATGATTTAGATAGCTAGATGAAGATTCATATTTCAAAAGCAGTTTTTCCAAAACGAAATCAATTAGAAAAAACTCATAGATGAAATATATGGTTTACTCTTGAGGAAGAAGAAGAGAAAGATGGCAAGCCAATCTTTCCAAAACTTCCACACAAAAGAGACGGCTTCCAAATTAGGAATTCACTTGCTTTTACAGACAAAAGAATCCCTTAGGTCAGACTGACACATGGCAGCAGAGAGAGAAGATAGAATAGGACAAAACAGATGGTTAGCCAGCTGGAAATCCTACAGAGCAAGGATGACTAGTCATAATTTATGAAAACAGTTTTAATGCATGATATGCAATGCATGATTTTACCTTTGTCAAATTGCTTGAACCTCCATAGGATAGATGAGAGTTAAGAACACTTAGAGATGCTAATCTTAATCTAACCTTGAGCTTGATAAATGCATATAAAAGTCCTATTACAAAATTGTCAAGGGAAGCCAAAAGAATTAATCAAAATTCATACATTAACAGACTTCTTTCTTTTTACTAAACCTTTCTAGCGTAGTATTAAGACTTATCTTAGGGACTTGGCTAGGACTGGGTTCATCTTGGCTTTTGATTAATTACTATTGTTTCAACTGGGGGGTGAGCACTGATAACTTTAGTGGCATCGGCTTTTTCCCATTTTTCCTGGGTTAAAGTAACTAACTTTTGACTCTTAAATTGATTCTTTTTACTTTGTCAGTAACCTTTTGAATAACCTTTTGACCATTTACTTTTCCTAGGGGTAAACTTCTTTTTACTATAAAACTCATCATTATTTCTGAAAGAATTTTTCCTACGGGAATAATGGCGACTTTTACTAAAGCGTCTATCATGACCTCTTTTAAATTGTCTAGACGACGGAACCGGTGCTAGACCATACTATTCACAGAAATTACCTAACTCATACTTGGCATTTTTACTATCGGCTTGAACTGATTTACTAATTTTTAAATCTACACACATTTTCATACCGACCTGGTTAATTGTACTAATTATATTACCATAGGTTAACTCATCATAATTAATTTGACCTGACTTGTTGCTTAAGACCGTTCTAATCTTATGTGCAAATAAATTAGGGAGACCGTTTATGAACTTTTCTTTCCAAAATGGTTGGTTACTATCATCTCTTAACATGACTCTAGAAATAAAAACATCTTTATACCATCTAAAATCACTTAACTTAGGGCATTTGAGATTACTCAACTGATCATGAATCCTAGCTGTTGTACTACTGGGCGTACCAATAAAATGCTCAATTATTGTATATAAAAGGACATTGACTCCGTCTTCTATACTTGTTCCTATTCTTTCATCTAAAATAGGGTAACCTTCTTCGTTTGTCTTAAAGGCATGGATTATTCTTAGCTTTGCATCTTCCATGAGATGTTTATCCCACCAGAAACGAAGTGTTCCTGTGAAACCTGTTTCTAAAAGGGAAACTATTTCTGACTGTCTTAACTGGTGATTAGTGGCGTAACTATTGGCTACCATAGACATATGCTGTAACTTGTTAAGTATCTCTTGTTCGGACAAGCCATCGATATTCCACTTGTATAACTTATCAGAAGACACTGAGAATTGACTCTGGGTTCTTTCTTCAAACTGGACATCTGGGGGTGTAGGCTTAGGATACCAATTTTTGGTAAGACTCGTGGGGTTAACTTTACCTGTTAAACGACTAACTTTAAGACTTTGGGAGTCCTGGTTAACTAAAGGCACAGATTGATTTACTTAAGACTTTACAACACTTATCTTTACATCCTAATTGAACTTCTGGTGAACTAGACTGGGAACTGTCCGAACTATAGTTAACTGAATTGGCTGAGGACATAGGATCTGACTCTGTGTTGGTATTCCTTCAGTTAAAAGAATTAACTGAAGGAATACCAAGGCATGGGAGTGACTTGACATGAACTTTGATTTGTTTAACTATTTATGTGTGACTCGGAGTCCGGGCAGGAGGATTGCTCTGGAGACGATCAAACAGGGGCTTACATAACTTTCTTAGATTTTGGTAGAAATCAGAAACATAATTCAAAGATCCTAAAAATCTCTGAAGTTGACTCTTTTCTAGAATTTGATCTGGAAACTTTTCTGCAAACTGGATAACTCAATTGATTGGGCTTATTTGGGATTGACTGATGTTGAAACCTAGAAACCTAACATTGACTTGGAATAACTTGATTTTCTTGGATGGGATAACTAGACCATTAATTTTAACTATCTATAAGAACTTGTGTAAATGCTTCCAGTGCTGCTCAATTGACTCTGAAAAGATAAGAACATCATCTATATAAACTATGGAAAATTGACTATATGTATATATATACTTATTTTATTTACTTTTTAAATGAGAAATTTACAGCTTGGCGGACTGAAGAACATTGAAGATTTAAGGAAACAACCCTTCTATAGGTTTCTCCATCGTACTTACCTTCTACATTCAATTGCTCTTGGAGGTGTACTATATGTTGTGGGTGGATTTCCCTTCTTGGTTTGGGGAGTGGTGAGATCGCTTACTCGTTAGTTTACCTTACTTATTCTTCCAAATGATCACTCTCTATTAATAACTACTTGACTTGACCATTTTGTATTTGTAGTGTTATATATTGGAGAATATGATTTCCCACATCAGAAATTTGATTAAATAAAATACAATATATAATGACTGATTCCCAACACATGACAAATATGCAGATGGTTAAGTGGGAGACAGTATCAATATTTGTAGTAGTGAGCCGCAGATTCGTCCCTCTAGAATCTTAATATGGTATCAGAGCGGGCTGATTTACTGAGCCCAATACCCAAATCAAACAAAAACCCCAAATTTGACCCTGAAATTGAAACCCAAATTGAAAAAACAAAAAAAAAAAAAAAAAAAAAACAGTGACTAATGTGGAATTAGTTGCATGTGTGGTCCACTAAAAAGTGATCCCAGGTGAGGGGTAGTGTTGAAAAATATGACATTATTCATGGATTTAAAAATGTCCTTTTTCATCTAAACAAGTCAGAAATCTAAAAATCATGTTTAACTTCTCCATCCAAACATGCCCTAAATTTAAATTCCTTAAAATTTCAGGGAGTGAGGACAACATTTTTTCATCACGCCACTTTCCTAGTAAATTCAGTTGGCCACATGTGGGGAAACAAAGCATGGAACACCGGTGATATGTCGACGAACAATTGGTATATCGCATCTATTCCTCAGTTTGCTATATTTCATCACTACTAAATGTAAAATTGGGATACTAACATGTTTTATGTACATGATATATTGTTAATAATTTAGGTGGCTGGCAATTATTATGTTTGGAGAAGGCTGGCATAATAACCACCATGCTTTTGAATACTCAGCTCGACATGGGCTGGAATGGTGGCAAATTGATTTTACTTGGTACACAATAAGATTTCTTGAAGCTATTGGACTGGCAACAGATGTCAAGGTCCCGACTGAAATTCAAAAGCAACGAAAAGCTACAAATGGTAGAATGATGGCTACTCAAAATTAGGCTTTGATTAAGATTAATTCTGCTATGTATGTCATGGATAACTAGCTTCAAATCCTATATGTATTTCTTTGGCTTCTAATGGAAGAGTGTATGCCAATGGCGTCAATTACTAATATCATACAATTGATTCCATTTCAACTAACATGTAGCATTTTCATTATGTATCCGCCTATTTTATTCAATTTTGAAGGATGCCTTAATTATGTTTTTACCTTGGTGGTCGTGTTCCTCTTTGATTATTTGTACAAGTTCAGATGTTCTGTCTCCTTTTTTTTGACACTACTACAAAAAACGAAATAGACGACGGGAATTCACCGTCGTTGTAATGCTTTGAAAACCGTCATTAAATCGACCACCATCTTTTTGGGTGTCAAACTACGATGGCTTTTCACCGTCATTGTTTATCTGTAAAGACGACGGTTTTCTTTAAAAACCATCGTTGTTTAGAGGTAAAGATCGTTAATTATAGGAGGAAAGACGACAGTTTTTAATAAAACCGTCGTGGATTGTAGGTTAAGATGACGGTTTTTTATGAAAACCGTCGTGGATTGTAGGTTAAGACAACAATTGTTTTATAAAAACCGTCGTTAATTATCTATAAAGCCAACGGTTGGTTTATAAAAATCGTCGTTAATTATCTGTAAAGCCCATGATTTATTATGAAAACCGTCGTCTAATAAGTTCCCAAACTGCTACATTTTAGTTCTTTTTTATTTCATATGATGCTATCACTACTACATTTTAGCCCTTGCGCGACGGTTTTTTGCGCGACGGAGGATAAATCGTCCCACATAGATATTTTGCGCGACGGGTAACATAAATCGTAGCGCAAAATTGTACGACAAAATTAATCGTCGCGCAAATTACTGTTTGCGCGACGAAAACAAAGAGCGTCGCATAAAGTAGCTGGGAAAACGCGCGGAAAAATTTATTTGGCGGTGAACTTTGCGCGACAGTATTTCTCGTCGCGCTAAGGTATTTTGCGCGACAAGTAAAAACTTTCGTCGCGAAAAAAAAAGGCGCGAAGAACGGACTACTGTCGATAGCATTTCGCGCCAAAAAATTGCGCGACAAACATTTCGTCGCACGTTGTTTGTGCGACGAATTATTGTGCGACGGATAGAACTACATCGTCGCGCAAAAAATCGATGTCGACAGTACCTTGCGCGACTGGGAAATAACCTTTGCGCGACGGTGACGTGGTTTGCGCGACATATGTTGAACTAATTATTCGTCGCGCAAAACGGAAGAATCTTGCGCGACGACAGAGGTATCCGTCGCGCAAACTCGTCGTCTATACTAAGCTTAGCACGTCCATGGCAGAGGCAAACTGCAGAAAAAATTGCAGTTTGCCTCTGCTGTTGCTGCATCTTTCTCAAGAGGTTTCGGCACACAAAATTCGTCATTTTCATTTCGTTTATGAGTTGAGCTACTTCTGCCTCTGATACGGTCATTAGGTATGCATTTTTTATCGTTAGTGTAAAAATTTTACTGTAAATTCATACTAACACCATTAATTTCTTTGTATATAGGAATATTATATGTGATTAGCGATTGGAGGAGAACGATTTAGAAGGTATTTTCGTTGTTTTATAATATAAAATGTATTACATTATATTTATATTGATTTATGAAATTATGTTTATAATATGATGTTAAATTATGAATGTACGTTAATGTAC